TGTGTTCTAACCCTGACCCGTCAAGCAGACGGAAAGCTAGCACTGATTCTGGAAGTGTCATATTAAACTCTTAGTTTTGTTATAAAGTTTTTCAAATTCTGAAACATACGTTTCCATACTCATATTTTGTGTTCTTTTTTAAATCTATCAAAGTCACCATATACCTCATACGCTGCCGTGATTTCATCCTTTATAGATTCCATCCATAAACGCAGAAGAAGTAATTTCGCCCCATCCTTGTCACCAAGTTTCGCCGCTCCCAGTTCATTAAACACTTTGTCCCGAATGTTATCTGTTTCTGGCAGTGAAAGAGCTATTGCCGCACCCTGTTTATCTTCTGCCAAGTCTGTCACTGCTTGCCACACCTTTACTTCTTCCACCCATCGACTGTAAGGCTTGTAGTCGAGAAACGCTGGGGAATTCTGTAATTTCCAGACGCCATTTTTCTTTCGATAGACACTTCTGCTTCTGCTAATTCTTTGCTTCGCTATTTCACTGTAGTTGCCCTGTCACTGGCCTGGGAACTATTAACCACGCTCTGCTACCATGTTAAGTCTGACTCGTGGTAATAAAACACCAAGAGACGAAGTTGCCAGGACATGTACTTTATTCCTCTCGCATGAGTGAACATCAACACAACCACGCTGGCCGGCACATGGTTCTTCACTGACCTCACTGACACACCTTGCGCATGTGCATGCCTCTCACGCAAAGCTACTTCCTTTCCTCCAGTGCTCCAGCCAACCATACGTACACATACGTTAACATATCAGCCAAGTACTGAAGTGGTGCCTTTTGATATTTTCAGAATGCTAAACTTTTATTTCAATGGCTAGACTTAGAATTGCTTCCGGGTAAGGGGTTTGTTTATGGATCAGAAAAATTATCTTAGGATTTATGTGGAACTGGGTGGGATAATTATCTTCTGATGATTCTTGTTGTCACATTGATAAAATAACTACTTTTAAAACAAATATAAATATATACTACATATAAACTCTCGTGAAATTAAAATGATATGGTAGAATTACTAAGACAGACAGGACATGGGCTATAAATAGACAAAGGCTGATCCTTATATATTTTTGCATTCAGATTTTCCCAATTTGTTTCATTTGCAAATTGTCTAATTGTTCTAGACTGAACGATCCTTTCTCATTGAAAAATCCACAAAAACTTTCACAAAATCACACAAAAAGATTAGCATTGGGTTACACAACACCAAATGTTTTCCCATAGACTTCTATAGTAACCTTCTAGGTCCTCAACCCCAGTTCCGCACCAAATGTCACCTACTGGAAAATATCTGTACACACAATAAGCATAAGTGATGGTGATAAAAATGACAGCACTAAATACTTCAAATTGGGGTCAGTTTTAATTACTGGTTGGATGTAGTTTTAATAAACAAACATCTTACACTATTTCATCCAATCACAGCTGTCACATGTCTCTGTCTCTCTTCACTTGTTTACAGATGGCTCTCGCGCAGGGAGCATGTGATGCTGATTAAGTGTAGTGGAACCTATAGGAAAATTTAGAAACATTTGCCCTAGGCAAATCTGTGATTTATGTACTGTATATATACATGTAACTTCTCAGAAAAAATATAAAAGTGCATGAAGCTTCAATGCTTTTTCCTGTCCAACATATCGATATTGCACAAGAATATAGTGATTTGCTGCACTGACAGAGCTGGAAGAGTTATATTATGTCTATTTCACCAAAGCTATACAAAATACACTTCTGCATTAATAGAGAAAGTTTTCAAATCAAACATATACCATGGGAGTTTACTCTTATTTCACAAAAGAAGGGGGGCCATGGGTTAATTCCATGCATGACTGGGACTGCCTTGATCATATCAATCCAAAATATATTTGAACGACAAAAATCATGGAATTCAGGCATGAAATTGGACAGGTTTAACATTAAGCAGCTTTAACATCCTGACATATGTAAGGCTGGATGATGAACTTTGCCAGAATGTAATAAGTGAGGGGTTGGATTATGCCTAGCAGTCTGAAACACTGACCACAGTACCCTGCCGCCTGTTAGTCCATCAAGGCAAATGACCCCTTCAACAGATGAAATCACTTTTAGACCACAGCATGATAAGAACTTACACTTGAATCTATTGATTCATCAAGTTAAGACTTTGAAATACTTCCAGAAATTCGAAATTATTTACTGTGTATTGTTTTGAGGCTGTTAGACTTGCTAATTTCATGTATAAGCCAGTTTAGAGGAACAAAGTGAAAAAATCCACATAACTTTGGAAATTTATTGGTTAACCTGCCCTAAACTGAATATTTTTAATTACAATTAACAGTGTTTGGCAATATCAGCTAAAACAGAGCTTCTGCAATAATTTATTGGTTACTGGGCTAGAGAAAGACACACAATGTATTTGGGTAAACAGGGAGATAATTTTAAGATATCGAACACTCTCATGTCAATAAAATGTGAATTCAGACCCCTAATATTACATTCCACAAGGGTCAGTTGTTATTGTTTACATCTAAGCAGCTTTTGGGGTTGACTTCATGTCTTGAAACTGGAAATACTGCACAGTGAGGCATTAAGGGGACACTGTCAGAAATTTCTAATGGATGAGGATGACAGAGTGATCGAATTTGGTAGTGAGACATTGTGGTGCCTTAACTGGACTGGAGGCACTTAAATGTACTATATGTACCTACATGTCCAAGAACTGCAACTTCTACAAGGCGGTGAAGCATATCGAAGCAAAGGGAGTATGCTTGATTAGACACTGCCAACAACAGCCTTCGGACCGGCTTGTCGAAATACCACATTGGATGTGAAGGCTTATTTTTCTGCTGTATTTGTGAAGATACACCTCCCCATTCACCAACAGGCATTCTACAAGCTGAAAATAGTGTTGAGATTACATTAAATGTCAAGTCATAAATCCATAACAGCAATGAGAGAGTTGTTAATACAATAGAAATTCATTTTGAAAGTTCTATGGGTGTGAAAAGGGGTATATTTTTAAAAAAGGAAAAGAAAATTAGGTCGTTGCATATGCAAAAGGGGACAGACAGAAAGAACTGATCATATGCTACACTGTTTGCATTTAAAACAAGGGTTTGTGACATGTGACTGCTGTCAGCAGTGAACATATTTCATGATATTCTTATCATTTGACTTCAAACTGACCCTCAGAAGATTAACTTAGACACTCACATTGTTGTGGCAGTGGTGATTTTAACCTAATTTGTTGTCAAATTTATTAGTTACAACAAATTTAGAAGCCAGGGAACCACTATTTGATGGTAAGACTCATCTTAAGGGTCTTTTACCACTGTTCGAACCCAAACGAAGCAACGTTCATGTTCTGGACACTAAAACAATCTATTTCACGCAAAACAGCCCTATCTTTACACCCAGTACCTTTAAATTTGCCTCTACATAAATGCTAACATGTTTCCATGGTGAAATAAACACAGGAAAGCATGTAAAGTATGAATTACTGAAAAGTGCTCGAACCCTGTAGAATAATGGTCTGCATCTGCACTAGGCAAATCTGTGACGTATTTATTGTACATATATGTAGCTCCTTAGAAACAAATGGAAATTGGTTCAAGCGCTATACTTTGTGCTCACTGCCATGTCTGTATGACACCTATATGCAGATATCTGATGCATTATAAAAGCTGTTAAGAGTTAAATTATTATGGTTTTGGCAGCTTATTGCAACATGTACTTCTGTATTAATAAAGAACTTTCTATGACCATACACAGGCCTCTATTGTTTATTCTTGTTTCCCAAATGGAGGGCTTCACGGGTCAAATCCATGGTTCACAGATGATGCTTCAAACATGTCACCCCTTAAATGTCCTTTCGACCCTGTAAAATTGGCAATGCTGATAAAGTCAAGACAAAATAGACTTCATATTTTAATTTAATTGATGGTGAATTGTTTGTAGTAATGTTGTGACAGCAACTAGTGATAGCAGAATCTGATACATCTCATGTAATTTGGTTGTGACACTAATTAGATTAAGTGTTAAAAGAGGCTGGACAGAGTCAGCTGACTGGAACTGCTATCGGTACCCCTGCACTGTTTACATCTAACTGAAAAGCAAAGTAGCTTTTAAAGTGCCCCAGACTGTCAGGTTGACCCCTGAGCTACACAAGAAAGTGACCAGTGCAGGGATGACTGGAGTCCAGCCAGTACAAACACTCACCAGTCTGCCATACCGCCTGTTAAGGTGGAGGATGAGAAACATCCCTCAGGAGGAGGATTGTTCACTGAAAACAAAAAGTGACAGGTAACATGACTATAATCTACTTATTCATGTCACCCAAGCTTTGAAATACTTGGAGGTAACAAAAAGTCCTCATTGGTAAATGATTTGGGTGGCCAAACTTACCTCATTAAGAGAATTTATCTTTAAACAAGGTGACATAAGAAATTTTAAATTTTATTCACATTTTTCAGTGATTACGTGAAGTAAGTGGCCAAATTCAGACTCATGAATGAGTGTTTTTCAAAACCAATTACAAAAAACAGTGTTTTAATACAATAATGAAGGGCTAAACTGGGATAGAAATATAAAATACATTTCATCCAGCAAGGGAGATACTTCACAAATGTCGAACACAACAACATATTGTAAATATCATTCAGACGTTTCCCAAGTAGTAAGTGGGGATTATTTTAAATCTGCAGGGCTGCTGCTGATGTGTATCATCTGTTCCACGTTGGGGAGACAGAGAAACTGTTCAATGAGGCATTTCGTGAGCATGCCACGACATCGACAAACTGTGAGGGGGACCTGGTTATGGATATAGAGCATGAACAGCAGTGGGGCCTCAACTGGACAAAGAGACTGAAATGTACCAACTGTGGCTACCTGTCTAAGCATCATAAGCTCTACAAGGAGGTAGAAGTAGCTGCGGCAAAGAAGGGACGTCGCTCCTCCACTGCTAACACTGGACTCCAGATAGGCCTGTCGAAATGTCCCATGGGGGAGTGAGAGTTTCCGTGTCCCTCTGCATGAGTGCAGATATTCCACCCCCATCCAGTTCAGGCATGCAGAAGCTGCAAACAGAGTTTGTGATAATATTAAATCGCAAAATGTGAAGGATATGAGGGCCAGGAGGGTGGACATGAGGGAAATAAATAAATACAGAGGAACAAATTTAAATAATGTTAGCATGTCTACAGATAGCATGTACAACAACCCACTTAGTTGATGTGTTGGGAAAACTGCTTTTCAGCCAGCCACAGAAGTTACCTATGTAGCCACTGAGAATGAGACTTGTGACCACCAAATGTTAGCTCTACAAACAAAATCAAAACTTTGTTCAAAGCACAGTTTAGTTGACAACATTTCTTGTGTAAACAATCCAGACTGCACTGCTGATTTGCACATGTCAGAATCAATAGGAAATGAAAAACAGTTAGCGGACTGAAAGAAAGACCAAATTGATGTAGAATTTTTGACAACAGATACTGATAGTGCAGCTTACACAGCTCTCACTGAAATATATGAAGCAGGGGAGATGGATGTTTGTCCGCAAACTTTTCTCGATACAAGGCATCTATCAGCCAGTCATAGAAAATTCATAAAAAATTCTAAACTTGTAGTGGACATGATGCCTGCTAGAACTAGACAAGATAAACAGAATTTGGCAAATACATTTTCTTTAGACTGTGCATCCAGATGTGCAGCTGAGTTTTCAGCTGCTTACTCAAGTCATGCAGGTGACTTGCCAAGGTTGAAGAAATCTCTGTGATATACCTCTGATGCTATTGCTTACTGTTACATGGGAGATCACTGTACTGTTCTCCAACAATAAAGAAGAGTCTTCAACAGCTAGTTTAAACTTGATTGCCTTTATTTGTACCAAACGTACGATCATGAGAAGACTATGCATCATGAGGTCAATCACGTGTGACGTGGTAAAAGCTGTAAAATAACAAAGGAACTATAAGTGTGATATTCCTGTACATTGGATGAGTGTAATCACACCTTTAGCTGAATTATACTAAATTGTGTAAAAGACACCAATACCAGACATTGAGCCTAATTTACTGGTTCAATTAAAACATTTTTGTGATATCAAAATGCCATGACAGTTCTAAGTTGTTTCATAAACAATAATAAATTCCATAAAATATATAATACGAATGTCAAGCCCACTTGTATAAAGCCTCACGAAAGTACAGAGATGTACGTTTTTACTGCGTAGTGTAATAGGCGCCTAGCGCGTGAGTGTTGTAAAACAGACGCCCAGTGACAGCAGAACGTTGTATATGTATGACAAGTGTCGGTTGGTTACTGAAGTAAAATGCTTTGCGTTGTGTTTGATAATTGGTCTCTTCACGTGGTCAGTACATCTAGTCTGCAAGTTCTGTGGGAATGGTTCCTGGCGGGTTCTCCCAATTCAACTCAATTAAAGTCAGAACAAACGAATATTTAGGTTTCCATTCTTGTTTATTGTGAAAAAAAACGTATTAATCTAAACAATCCTACATATATCTACCTACCTAAATCCTACATAAATACAATTTAACTCTGGTTTATGTCCACCCCCTAATACCTACTCCCGAACAACAAAACAAAACCTACTCATTCCTATACTATTTCTCCCCTTCCCAAGCTAACACTCAATCAACACGACATCCCTAAAACAACAAACAATACGTGGAAACTTTAAACTTGGTCTTGATCCAAGACTCGGAGTCGCTAGAAACTTACCCGATGCGGGTATCGGACGACTGACGATTCCCTACCTAGGGTAGGCCTATATAGTCGACATCGGGCCACGTGACTGGGGAAATCCAGATTTCGGCCAATGCGCTCCTTGCATCTCTGCCCCTCAAGATGGCGGAGCATGCAAGAAGCGTGACATCGTCCTGTCTCCCCGGCCACGAGGTCCGCATGGGCCTAGGCTTCTACATATTTGACTACAAAGGTAGGTACTACGTCAGCCGCCCACCCAACTACCTAACCTACCCCACCCACTATGAAACTTTTGTATTTAATAAACTTTTTATACCCCGAGACGCCCACATTCCCCTTAAACTCAAAAGTTACTCTTTTCCCCTCCTAAAAATCCCAAAATATGAAAACAAAGCAAAAGAATAAATATATAACAGTTTACACACCAAAAAAAACAAACAAAAAAACAACAAAATAAAACAAGCAAGTAAGAATTAACAATAAAATAAAATTAACAGTAACAGCACATAATGCGAAAGAATGCGACTACAATGCGACTAGTCGCTAGGAAACTCCAGCAACGCCTGGCGATCCTCCTTTTCTTGGGCCTCACGGCTCAGGCGCCTCCGAGGCATGGCCGTTCTCTGCTGCGCCGCCTGCTCTCTGGCTAACCGGCGGAACGCCGGGAGAGGGTCCTTCCGAGGGAGGAGACAGACGCCAGGGTCGCGGTACTGTCTGTTTCTTCTCTGCATTACCGTTACTCGGCCATGGGGATTATGGGTCATCACATGTTCCTCCGCACCCCTCTTCCTCTGAAAAACCTTGCAGCATGTGGAACACTGTCTTAGGTTATGTTTTGGCCTGTGGTATTGGACCCAATGGTTCACCATATTTCTATAGGTCCGAATTTGTCTGCTGGCACATCCTTGGACTTGACAAGGTTGTCCATCTTCTGGCCAGATGGGTCTCTCCCCCTCCTCAAACTCTGCCAATTCCTCCTCTTTTACTTTAATCTCCAACTCCATTTTCTGCAAGCAGAAGTATCAAGCAGAAAGAGGGAAAATTCCTCCCAGAGCAAACGAAATCATGCAGAGAAAAACAACAACAACAAAAACAAGCTATATAAACATCATGCAAGTTAACCTGTTAAAATAACTGGCAAAACCCAATAAAATATAACGGAAGTCCCCCTTGTCTTCTCCTAGCTTGGACTGAACCTTTTTAATGGTTTAACAGTCCGTCCTGCCCGAGTCAGTATAGCTTCAGGCGTTCTAAATTCTTCCTCCAATTGGAAGGTATCCATCCCTGACTGTACAGCGGAGTCATGCTGTGGTTGATTCAACCAGCTGCTTGGACATGGAGTCCCATCATATGGTTTTAAATGATCCACATGTACACTTACAATAAGTTTAATAATATTTTGTTGTAACATGTTGTCAATTTCATTTTCAACTAACTGTTTCTTAGCCAAAGGGATCCTTCGGGCCGGTAGTTTGATTGGAGTTGCATCACCAGTATTGATAATGTGAGTAGTCTCATCTGTCTGTCCTAACGAACCATCTTCACCCACAAAAACATCCTGAAATTCTCGAACCAAATCAGAAACGGACTGCCTTTGAATATCCGAAAGACCAGAGGAACATCTATCAACCAGTGACTGCAAGTGACTCGGTAAGTCCAAACCTAGTGCATCTGTGGCAACATCATCACAAGCTACAACCTGATCTACTCTGCTAACTGTAGCTAGTACGGATGAACTGTTTATGGACACTTTCTTGCTGTTCAGGTTCAGCACTGAAATTACTACAGCATCCTTATCAGGCTGGACAAGACTTCTAGCCACAAAAATTCCTTTGCTTCGCCAATATTTATTTGGCTCAACCAACCCCAATTCAGTACCAAATGAACCCTCCACAGTGCATTTGATTAATAAAATACTGAAGATACCATGGAATAATTATCACAAGAATACGAAGAATGAACCCTTTAACACTGTAAATGAAGTTACGTCTTGGTGCGAGGCTTAATGCAAGGAAAACACTTCAAAACTTGAGAGCGACACTTGTCACCGAAGAGCACATGGTACAACATGGCTGGCAAAGGGAGGTAATCAACCTAAAACTAAGGGAAGCAACTCTAGTGAAGCTTACATCAAATCGTAGATGTCAGTGCGTGACATCACAATCACACGAAATGCAGAAAGCAGTCATTTGTGTGCAAGGGAGGGTGTGTGTGTGTGTGTGGGGGGGGGGCAAAATTGGTTATCACACAGTAAATATTTGGATAAAAACTTCAAAATTACTCACAATGAACACTGGAAAAAAAATCCATCTTTCCAAGCTTGGAAATGTCTTGGAAAGATGATGTTTCCAAGACATTTCCAATTTTGGAAAGATGATGTTTCCAAGACTTTCCAATTTTGGAAAGATGATGTTTCCAAAAATTTCCAATCTTGGAAATATCCGCAAGGGGAGATAACTGGTGGGTGATGGTAAATTATTGTTCTGCATGGGCTAATTGCAATAGTGGCATGGGGCGGCATGAGTGTTTCATGGGGTCGTTAAGGCGACTGGCGGTAGTCTTTGATGTTTGGTGTTGTTTGAGTTATGATTGTTTAAGGGGTTAACGAAAGGATTATCGACTTGACTAGTCGAAATTGCAGTGAACACATTTTAAGTGTTCAATGTTGTGGGTGAAAAGTGAATTTGTCACGTTGAGTTTAAATATGTATCATCATAAGCTTATATCTAGTCAGTGAGAGTTAATTTCGTACAAGGGCCACCGACCCGTTTTACAATTATAAAGATGAAAATACAATCCAGCGCCATATATAATATTAAGCTGTATGCTAACATGTACAATGTCTCATTTAATCTTATACTCTATATTCAAAAACTTCGCTCTTTTTGTCAATGTTTCACATGGATTATTTATGTAGTATTGTGGGAGAAGGCTGTTTCTCAGATCACAGTAAAATGAACATTCAATAAAGAATTGGTACTCTGATTCAATTGTAAGTACTATACACAGAGGGTAGAATCACTCATGTTGTTTTATATTTACTTTTCGCCCTTATTCAAACATTAAAGGATGGTCTGAACAACGAAACTTACTCAAAGCAAAACGAATCGTTGCGTTGCTGTCAATCGTTGCGTTGCCGTCCTGGGGGGTCGAGTGATGGTGTCACCATGCACTAATTTCCACCGGACCCCGCAGTTCGTGCTAAATCATTTAGTAAATGGGTTATGTTTGTGAGTGCGAAGCGAGCGTTGTGGAAGCTTGGAACGAAATCTTAAATTTGTCCAGATCGCTTCGCGGAAGTTAAAGAATCAAACTACTTACTACTTGTAGTACAATATATATATGATTGATGACCAAAATATTTTCCATGACACAACTTGAAGCATAAAGATTTCTTTTCTCGGAAGCGAGGTCGTGGTGGAAGTGACCAAATATTGTAAGTAGTGTTATATTGATGACATATTTACTTCGCTTCCTCGAGAGAAATTGTTATGATATAAGATATGTCACGCAAAAATCCTATTGACATCAATCAAATATATATGTAATTATCAGTAGAAAGTAGTTTTGATTTTGTAACTCGGTGAAAACAAACCTAAATAGCATTTATTGTCAGACTCGCGGATGTTCGCGACAGGGCGCTGCCATTTTTAATAATCGTAACATGACGGGCTAAAGTCTGTTAAAGAATTAATGAGATTATGGTTTGTTTTCATCAAGTTAGAAAAGCAAAACTACTTTCTACTCGTAGTTAAATATGTATTGGAATCATGGCCAACAGGATTTGGCATGACACAACTTATAACATAACGATTTCTTCCTCGGAAGCGAGGTGGGGGTCGAAGTGACATACTGCGCAATAAATATCTTGCTACATTCCCATGGTTAATGTCCACTCACCAGTATGTAAATACTAGTCAACGTGCGTCTTTCTATTTGGTCTTATAATCCTAATTAGTTTATTATGATACTTATGTGCATTTTGAAACTAAATAAAAATCAGGCGATCTGCCTTTACTTATAACTTGAATGTCTAGACATTGTAAATCATAATTCGCACACACGCCCTAGTGTATGTTGTCTGTCTCATTACTTCACGACGAAATCATGGATTCTGTGGAATGCTGCGACAAATGAATAAAAACAAAATGCAATTATTAAAACTAAAACAGGTAGTTATAATGATGTCAGGCTATTACTTTGTTCGAGGAATGTATCCATCAATATCCACAAAAACGAGCCGTATGCCATTCACCTGCAGCTGTTCCAAATGATGTGTCTTTTAACAGTCTAATACATGTTCACGAAAAGTGATATATCGTGTCCGGTATTTTACATAGGTATATAGTCTCATTGGTCACCCAAGATAGCACACCTGGCCACTAATTGCATGATGTCCGCCATTCTTTACAAAAAAAAGTAATTTAGTTAGCCAATAATGAGCAATCAATCAATGTCTTGGCGGTTAATCCTTCGAAAGAAGCAAGTTGTTTTACGCAGACACAGACACGACAGAGTGTATTCAGTATTGATTAGTTAATCTACATATATAAACAATACCTTTTGACAAATCCGCTGTGTAAGATAAAAGTAATTAATCAATCAGCGTGTTATCGGTTAATCCTTTGATCGATGTATATTATATTGGGTATTTACTCCAGACACAAGAAATGCAAAATGGGAACCTTTGTCGGGTTATCTAAGTGGTGTTACCTGTTTTAAATTCATTAACTGACCATCAAGTGAATGATGACAAATAACATGTGTAGGTTTATACCACCTAACACGGGTTAAAACATGGGAGTATTAATTGCTGTATTGCATGTGTAAACCTATGGGCCGACACTATTTTGAGAATACGGACAGAACTTCATTGTTGCATAAGAAATACATATAAGCATTTGCCGTGTGCTATAACTGTATGTACCTATTTACCTAAGTAAATTTTCAGAGCCTTCTAGCAATGGCAAAGTGGGGTTGTTGAGTTTACGAATTCAAATGGATCAATTGTCATTTTTTAATATTATACGTCATATGTTTATTGAGAATGGTCCCTCGTCGTTCATGCCGATTCAACGAATCAAAAGTAAATTCATCAAGATAATCGGAGAGTGCCGAAAGAAAGATGTGATGTTTGTGTTGCCGAGGGACAGATACGTGATGGTTTAAATGAAACGATCTGTGATACCTGTGATTCAGAAATCCTGTGTTACCTGTGACTCAGAAATTAAATTTGTTAAAAAGCTTGCTAATCTTGTACATTGTATTTCTGAAGAAGATGTCTTAGTTTCGACATGACATGTATTCTCTTGTATAATATTTAACATATCTTATTAATGACCTTCAGCTGTAAACAATTAAATATGTCCTTCTTTCAAAGGGTTAACTGCCAATAGATTGATTGCTCATTTTGGCAAGGGTGTTTTCTATTATCTACATGATAAATGATACAAATATATAAAACATAATATATAAAAACTTATAAGAAGTTTATAGCACTAACACAAGCAAATTTGTTTTGAACGTTCTTGATAAATCATATTGTTAAAGGTCACATGCAACCAAAAAATCAAACATAATTAAAACACAATTATCACTTATTCATGACAATATATACATTGCTGATTATGAAAAAACATATAAACAAAATTATAACCGTACAATCGCAAAATCAAAAGAGCAATATTTGGTACTTGGGTTTACTTCCCAAGAAACGAAGCAGCCGGGATACCGAACCCAGTCAGAGCGAGTGGGTGTGCACTCAAGTGTAACGGCTGGTTCATTTGCAGACGCCCCTCGCGGTTCATTATGTGTGTATATTCCGAGATGTTGGATTTTGTAAATACATCCTCATTTTTTGTGTATAACATTTTGCAATCAACAGACATCATAACATGTCATGTGTACAAGTATCACACCTGTCTGTCTGTGTAATTACATAATGTGACAGAGACCGAACGCCATTAATCAATACGTTTTGTTTATGGTGTATAGCCTGATAGGTGTTAAGTTCAAATTGCATGTGGTCAGTGATCGAAGCTGTGTATTGAACATTGTCATTAGCAGAAAGGCAGGCAGACACATAGGCGTCAATAAAACAGACACTTGTCTGCGACAACGACATATCTGTGTCACAGTTAGCTATTCTGTCAACGCTAAATAATGACATTGCTTTAAAGTATCGAACTGAGAAAGTGACTCGGTAAGAAGAACGTGGTGAAATAGACAAATGAAATTATATAAACAGTTAAATTGGTAATATACTGTCATAACATAAAAAGCTCGCGCCTGTGAAATATCAGCGAAACATTTAAAAAAAATAGCTCACACCAAAGCCTTCACCGAGTATTCACCGGACAACCTGCTGCGGAACCTATCGTTTTTGTCATCGCATTATTTTTCAACTTTATAAGTTGAATTTGCATTTTTGATGATTTGTTTCGGTAAATCCATACCGAAAGGTATCAGAATCTGCAAAGTTGTGTTTTACGTTGCATGTGACCTTTAACATAACGCTAGGAACACTACTTACATTTTTAAAAAAAAATTGTTATTTTTGTTACAATCTATTTGAGATTTGATTTTCCTTGACTTCGTTGTAGAGATTATGTCGTTCAATGTTGAGACTGTTGCTCTGCAGTCTTTCTAGACTGCATCTCCATGAGATCCATTCTCTCCTTCCCTCTTGTTCAGAATGAACATATACCGGTAACCGTTTACACATAGATATCGTCAACCACGAAAAGTAGGAAGAAACTTCATCTAACTGTGCATTTAGCACAACTGAATTTGTGGAAATAATTGTGAAAACTGTCATTTCCAAAGTTCTTATAGCAAGTTTCTGCAATAAAATGAATACCTCACAACTTGAGTGAACTAATTTATAAATTAAAGTGACTGTGTGAAGTCACTAACATGGATTCAATATCATACTGGTAGTCTGGTATACATGTCTTATTTCTTTCCTTGAGTGAACACGTTTTTTCATCTTGTAGAATCCCTTAAAACAACACCGTAGTCAAAACATCAAACGCTTTTTACCTTGAGCCAAATGTCTAACGTAACATTAACCTCGATAATGATACAAGAATGAATATGGGAACCCTTACTCTATGCATCGACAAGAATACCTGTCAAACAAGCATGGAGTTGCTATTGGCGTGGCGTCGTGTTCTCATTGCAGGTTTTAACATTTTCAAACATATATAATTGTCACCACAGCGACAAACCTATTTTACAGTTGAGTAGAATGCATCCAACCTGACCTCACAATGAGCGATGTGATAATTCAAGACATAGATAATCACAAGCATCTAGACTTGACCCTTCAAAATAACTGTAACTGGGATATTAACATAAATTCCATTGGCTGGCTTATTATGAAATTAATCTCTTGTATAAACTGGAATCTTTCAAATGTATATTTGTCTCTGGAATCATATCTGTGAGCTTTGGGCTGATTACCTCTTGATCTAAAATGAATGTTTTATTAAAACATTCTGTAACGTTTTGCTTGTAAATGATCACATTAATCTAGATAGACTTATGATTCAGTAAAAGGGAATTCATTTGAGTATCTGCTTCAATCCGCACATGTTTGGACAACACAACCAATTTTCTATTGACAAGTTAATGAGATTTTCGTGAATACGCCCATTGCATAACACCGTTATTGAGCACAAACTCAAATGGCCTCTCCCTTGTGACAGGTGTTAATTGGAGAATGTATTCTACTACGATTAGTTCCCATGAAGTAGACTTGTAAATATATAGGGTGTTTACCTCCAAGACCTGGTGATCTCGAACAAAGGCCAGTTAATGTTTTAACAGGCACAAGGTTGATACAAAAGTTGAAGGGGTAAAGAAATGAAATAAGCCTAAACTGAATTTGACATTTTCATGACATAATATATTTGGTGTTGCCACAATTAATCATCACAAGATGAAACATATCATGTGAAATATATATCAACTATCATTTGGAGGGCCTTTAGCGATCTTCTTAAATCTGCCATGCCAACACCCCAAGTAATAATAAGATACATAATTTTCAAATCATGTATGACCTATTTCAACTTATTACTGACCCTACGAAGGTCACCCAAAACTCTAGCACTTTGTTAGATATTAGTAGATTAATCAATAACTCTCGCGAGAAGTAGACCGTATCATCCCCGTAGACGTTGAGTGAACACATGAATCAGTATCATTATAATCTCAGTGAGCTAAACTCAGTAAATTCGATCACATTTCAAAACAAGTTCAGATTTTTATAGCACCCAGTCTCTTATTCCCGTATAACAACACCGACGCAACATGAACGAGATTATACTGTAATAACAAAATCCTACTTCACGGAATACCCCATTACGCCATGGCACGGGTTCACTTTTCATGGCATGTAATACACTCAGTCAGTCACTGTCATATAGTCCATATAGCTTAGGTGTATGGAATTTGTATTCATACGAACATTGAAAGGGCTGGGGTGGGAGAGTTGAAATTAAACATAATTGCGCGTTTGTGGATAACAACTAAAACATACACTTGAAACTGACTTTGAAAATGCTCGCCATACTAGCGGTAAATAGAACAGTCAACATCAATTTTGACACATAGAACAAGAAGAATGCAGATGAGTGAAGTTAAACTAATATATAGAATTGGTTCCTAGTTGGTCGCATAGGACGGCGAATAGTAAACACCTACTCTATATCCCAACTTTAAAAAATTTATCACTTCACGCGTGAAACACAGTTGCATTGATATCAAGCACAAAGGGATAATATGAATATATGGCGTATTCCTGCAGATTTCATGAATAAATATGTCACATGCAAGATACATTATCAACAATAAGAACTCTAACAGATCAAAAGATTCGTCAAATAGTTCAGTCTATACACTCATGGAACATGTGTTATATTTGGGATTACACTTTCTTAGTAAAGTACAAATTCTAGTACTTTTTGAGTTGAGCACCATCCGGGATACGAGCTCACACCCTCAGTCAGGCACCCTATCGCCAGCACACAAAATCAGCCTCCTAACCAACTCAGCTACCGCGACTTCCACAAAAAATGGAAGTCGGACAACTGGTAATCTAGACTGCGGGCTTTGTGTACCCCTCTGATAAATGTTAATTGGCACGGCTCCCACGGCCGAAAGCTATGATTACACAATGCCATACACTCATGGGCCGGGGATCCTTGGGGAAAAGGAGAAATTGAAAGAAGTAGTGGTAAAATCCTTCCTAAATTTCCAAAAATTTCCAAGCCTTGGAAACATCATCTTTCCAATTTTGGAAATTTTCGGAAATACGATGTTTCCAAATTGGAAATTTTTGGAAATCACCATTTTTTTTCTTGTGGAAATTCATTTTCAAAATTTGAGAAAATGCACTGACTTTCGTCTCGGCCCTAAAATAATAGACAAGACCCAATTCAACCTGAACAGTCAAAAGTATGAAGCTACAAAAAAGGCAATGCACAGGTCATTACCTTGTGTTACAACCTTTACTTGGAACTTCCAAGGCAGAGCTCACAGTGCTGTGCATAGTGTCAACTTAAAAAGTTCAGCAAAATCACTCTTGACGCTGAGCCATGTGCTTGGGTGTGCTGTCACTGCAGCAAGTAAAATTGATAATGAAATCAGCAAAAGTCACAATAAAGTACTTAAAGCTAAAACATACAAGAAATCAAAAATAAGTAAGGACCGCCGTGCTGAGAAAAAGTTAGAATTATTCAAACGCCATCATTGTAAAAAAAAATCAATATTCAAAAGACATGTTAATGAAAAGAAATACTGCATATTGAGACATCAATACCAAAGATAGGATCATCCATACACAAAACTGGCCCCAAACAGGAAGATCTGACAACATAATGTATATGCTTACATTAAACAGTAGGGTTTATGACTCTTGGTGCACAAGCCCTGTTGTCGACAGTGAATTCTGTCCATATTGTGTTCGTGGGTCTCGACAGTCAAATGGTCAGTGTTTACACAAGAAGTGTTGTGACAGAGATGATCAACTTCAATTTTTTTGCCAACGCTGTCAGTTTTAACCAAATCATCTGGTAAACATTTATTTGCTATGCATAGGGCTATTCTGTGGGCTTTTTGTTCGGTCCCTGCCTTGCACGGCCACGAAAAGAAACACCGCCCATAGCCCTGCTTATCTCGGCTGCCCAACCACTCCCTGCAACCAAATTTACCACTTGGGTCACCCATTTTCCTTTCAAATTCCCTCTACATTTGTCCCAAAACGTTTCCATGGCAGTAGATCAACATGGAAAACCATAAATTATTAATTGCTGAAATATGCACTTACGGTCCGGCTCATCGAGCAAGCGATTCTCATTTAGTGTATTGGAACCTATAGACCATTCTTAGCCAATATGCATGACCTCGAGGTCAAATTGAAAGCGAGGCTTAAATAGGTTGACCCAACCTTGAAAATGGCGACCTCGAAGAGGAAAGATTACTGCTGTGTGCCTTTGCGTTGGAGTGATGCCAGTAAGGATTTTATGGTATCTTTTCACCATATTCCCAAGAATAAGATCATAAGAAGGCAGTGGTTGACGAAAATACGGAGAGCTCCTGGAAAATGATTCATAGTAAGTACAAAATAATTTAGGCACATGTCACAGTCTAGAGATCTGCCGTGAAATGTACAAACTGTTCACTATGCAAGGTTTTAATATTAGGGGCACATGTACAATGTGAATGTCACACACAGACACATTCAACCCCCCCACCCAACACACACACACACATTGTCATGTTCAAAATCAGTGACCACCCCCTAGTTCATATGTACACAATTGACCCCTCCCCCTGCCTCCCAAAACAAACTGGGAGACACCCCAACCCCCACGAACACTGCACCTAAAATCGTCATCACCCCCCTAGTCATAAATTATGAACGGTCCATTACATTATTTTTTTTAAAGCATATGGACATATGGAGACACTCTTGTCATGATGGCAAGGGAATTTTATTTGCAAATATTCTGTATCAGTGAAATTAGATTGGCTGCAAATCAAAGTAACATTTCAAGTACATGTATATGCAGGACACACACATGCTGTTAAAAAAATCGTAAATATGTACTTTCAAAATTACTGCATACTGACCAGTACTTCAGGGATACAGGACATATTACTGGACAATCTAATTACAACAACTGAAATATATTTAGTGTTTAAATATCCATTTCAGATGCTGCTAATTAAGAGTCAGAGAGCATGTCACCAGCTCAGGAACCTCGCATAAGGAAGCTACCACAGTCACCATCTCAGATACAGTAAGAATGTCAGATCGTATTAAGTTAACTTTGCCAGCTGACATGGTTTTAAAGAATTTAATACAACTGAACTTTATTATGCCATGTTATTTACATATGAAAATATTGATTGCCCATGCTGTCTAAAATATGAAATGGTGTTAGCCTCTATTCCTTGATGTATATTTGTAATCCAGAGATATATTTATTGTTTGTGTGGTCGAAGAGATACTAGTGATGCTTTACAATGCTTATATTACGGTGAAGCAGAGAGTGATACAGCAGCCACTGACCCCCAGTCCTACATAGAACAACTCCAGCAAAACTTACATGAACAGGGGAGGCAACTCAAGGAAAGGGTGACAAAACAGAAAAATTGAACAGAAAACCTGAACTTGAAAAGTTTGGAGTTTGTCATTTTACAGTATTCCATCATTTCAAACATTGGCACTGATTAGCTGGAACTTTTTCATTTGTTGAATATCTTCCCAGGTTTTGTGAAGTACCTTGCCCAAATAGCACAATAATTGACAGACATGAATGTAAATGAAATTGTTTCATGCTTTTGTGTTGTGTAAATGATGGATGAAAAAAAGAGACAGCTGTAATACATACACATTGATGGATTTAACTGAATAATAGAAAGGTATTTCATAATGGCATAGTTGTAGATGTAACTCATTTGCTGCTGTTTAATTAGTAACTGATGAAAAAGAATGTATTTCATCCTGTTTGAAAAGAGTTAGTTGGGAACCAGAAAAACATTCATAGGTAAGAGATTTTGATAATAAATTATGAATTGATCCAGCTGTAATTGTTGCCATTCATGTCAGACTAATCTCAAAAGACATTTCTATCAACAAAAATATTGCACCCAATATATTTTCAATTTGCATCCTCTGAAAATGTTATTGTTATTCATCAGTGTTACAGTTGGAAGCTATTGTGAATGTGTCTATTGTTATTGGACTTTTAAGACACCATTTCAAAATAAATTTTCATTAACTGCACTCCAGGTGTTCGTTATTTATTTAGGTTAATTGTTTGCTGTAGTGTGAATCCTGTTATGTTAATCTGATAATATACTAGTACTCATGCCAATAATGGTTGTCTCCACCCTCAATTAAAAAAATTGAAGGGGGTGACAACCATTATTGGCATGAGTATATGTTCTCCTTAAAAAGGTCTTCAGTTACAGTCGTACAGAATAAATACACCAGATCTACAATAAATCAATTTTATGGTATAGTAACACAGTATTGAAAATTGTTTCAAATATTCCCCATGCAGGTACCATAAGTCCATTTAGGTGAAATAATTATTCACCTCCAAATCAGTCAAGAAAGAACTTGAAAAAATATCATCCAGTTTTGTCTTGTACTTTGTGTCCCACTCATGTTGATTGAATGAAATAGTTTCTAAATGATGACGTGGCGATTCGTTATTCCTCTGAGATTGTAACATGCAGTTACGCGCACATCGCCATCACCTGTAGGTACAACTAAAAATAAATGCGTAAATAAATACCCCATATCTATAAAACAGAGTCGATAGGACAAAACATTTTAAACAGAAAAAATACCAAACAAATAATTTCATCACATGAATAATACAATTTTGTTTGGTCCAGATCCACTCGAAGAGAGCTATCTTGATCTACATATTACTTATAATCTAGATTATCCAGCTCAAGAATTAACAACACTACTCCCATGTGGAAGTGGATGATTTGAATCCAGGTCAGGAAATACGTTGAGCCTTTTGCTTTGTTCATATGCTGATAAAGTAAACGTAATTGACTTCCCTTGGTAATATTTCCACTATTGTGACTTTAGAGTAGCTTCCCTTCATAAATGCTGCACAACATGGTAAACGTAACCTAGATATCTAGGTCATATGACTTATCGTGATGTGTCGTGAAGTACAGTAATTATTCATTACATTATTATGCTATAGAAACATGTTTGTAGCCCTTTCCCATTTCTCTGCAATTTCCCTGAACTACTGGACAGTTTCGTAATGTACCGTTCAAGGGAAATTTGAAACCAGGAAGTATACATTGAGATTTGTCACCATTATGCGATCGTGTCCTTCCCCAATTTAGCCTCGTTTTGGTACAGATATGAATATTCATGAGGCCTCATTAAGAATGGTCTATAGTATTGATACTAGTTCATGTGAATAAACTCGTATTCCAGCCAAGGCCTACACCTTGGTATAGTGCAAAGTCGTCTAGTTACATGCTGGACTATATTGATAAGAGACCTCTCAATCGCAATCAAGTTGTACTAGCAAACAATTTCTTCCACTTGCGAAATCTTGAAATAAATTCTGTTATCAGACAAGCATCGCCTTTGATATAATTGTAGATGCAGCTGTTTTCAACAAACTATTCCGATTACGATACAAACCATGCATTTCCCATAACTTTGCTTCCAAATCACCTCGTGTAGTGCGCGAAAACTGTAGCAAACGGGATCCGAATTGACACAAAACGTGAACGGGCCTTCATGTGAAACATGAATTCAATTTATTTATAGATCATTACAGTGTTATTTTGATTCAAGTATCAAATGTTTTAGGTATGCAAACGTGTTCTTGGTGGCATATTAGTATTGTCTGTTAGCTCATTTTTGGATTATGAGTTAAGTGCTCACTTGGACGTTAATTACCGCTTTTTCACTTTCAGCTTTTTGACGCACAGAGCGTGCCGGTGTAAGATTGGAAACATACCCGCGTTGAAAATCTCTCTCTCTCTCTCTCTCTCTCTCTCTCTCTCTCTCTCTCTCTCTCTCTCTCTCTCTCTGTCTCTCTCTCTCTCTCTCTCTCTCTCTCTCTCTCTCTCTCTCACTCATTCACTCACTCACTCACTCTTTCTCAGATATATCATATCCCATAGTACTAACACAATCGAAGCTTTACTTTTGCATCTTCCATTGTAAACTAGGGAAGAGAAGAAACGCCCTTTTCTGAAAAAAAGTTTGTCTGTTTTGTATTATTTTCCCCTAACGTTAAATTGATGTCAAACGGATGCTCGTGTTGTCCACATTAAGATACACGGTAAAACTATCGAATTGTTTATTATCTATTCAGGGCATTATTTAAATGGTAAAAAAGTTTATTTTCTGTCAAAAGAGTGGCAAATTCGGACTGTGAAACCTAGATATTTTTTTTTTTACAATCACGGAAATATATAGATATTACAGAGGTTGAGCAGCGCTACGTGTACATTACGCCTACGTGTGATCAGGGGATTCCCCTAAATGCCTCTGTATTACGTCATCACTATTTGCTGACCTGTCATCCCACAAGTTCCCGCTGACGCCTACTTCGAAGGATACACGTAAGTGAAAACTTGTGAGCTTGTTTTAAACAAACCAGCTGAATAGACTGTTGTATTGTTAAGATAGTGTGTTAAAATAAGTATCATGGTATCATCCAGTAATAAATTAGTGACCAGTTTTTGTGAAATATAACGCGTTTATTGCAGCCGTCTAGACACGAGAGTTAACCTTTCGCTAAAGGAAGGTCATCATTAGAATCATTGATATTAATTATTTATCATGAGAGTATGTTCCAGACATGTGTCTTTATGAATAATTTCGTATTTCAGTATGGCAAGACGCAAAACGCAAGTCAGGTTTTCTGAAAAAGACGATGTCAAATTGCCGAGGGAAGTGTTGGCTGCCAACCCGTTCAAAGACAAGGGAAAATGGCAAACAGCAGCAGACAACTTGACAAGTGCACGGTCAGACTTCAAAGTCGATGCTAGGCGAGTTAGGGAGAGGACGCACTTGATGTTAGACCACTTATGCACAGTAACAATGGTTTATCGATGTTTCTGTTGTTTTCTTGACTTGTAGGGCCTTTAATATGTATTTGTGTTCTCTAAATTCAGATCACTCGGATGAGACAACCCCTACTAAGAGGAGAAGTAGTACCAGCATACTAGACTACCTCAATACTAAGTCAGAGCAGGAGGCAGAGCTGAGAAGACAAGAACTGGATATGAGGAAGGAGGAACTGAAACTTGAGAGAAAAGATTTGAGCAGGAGAGAGAAGAGGGGAGACAGAGAATGGAGCTGGAGAGAGAAGAGGGGACACAGAGAATGGAGCTGGAGAGAGAAGAGGGGACACAGAGAATGGAGCAGGAGAGAGAAGAGGGGAGACAGAGAATGGAGCTGGAGAGAGAAGAGGGGACACAGAGAATGGAGCTGGAGAGAGAAGAGGGGAGACAGAAAATGGAGCTGGAGAGAGAAGAGGGGACACAGAGAATGGAGCTGGAGAGAGAAGAGGGGAGACAGAGAATGGAGCTGGAGAGAGAAGAGGGGACACAGAGAATGGAGCAGGAGAGAGAAGAGGGGAGACAGAGAATGGAGCTGGAGAGAGAAGAGGGGAGACAGAGAATGGAGCTGGAGAGAGAAGAGGGGAGACAGAGAATGGAGCTGGAGAGAGAAGAGGGGAGACAGAGAATGGAGCAAGAGAGAGAAGAGGGGAGACAGAGAATGGAGCTGGAGAGAGAAGAGGGGAGACAGAGAATGGAGCAGGAGAGCAAAGAAAACACAGCGTTGTTCGAACTCTTACAAAAATTTATTGACAAATAATTATTAAGAATGAAATGTACTACACATTCAAGAGAATGAGTGTGTAACTTGAACTGTACATGTAACAGATTTGCATTGAATAAATATATAAGACATTGGAATATACAGTTATCTTTACAATCAATATTTCACTACCAGGGGCATAGCTGGCGTATTCGCAAAAGGAAATTGCCTACTCATAATTGTTGTAACATTGAAAGCACTGGAATATTCCTGGAATATTGCTTAAAGCGGCGTAAAACCATACTCACTCACTCTACATGAAAGCACAGGTCTCAAACAGTTATAATCTGGTTTAGGTGCGTATGTATTCTTGAAGTGATGGTGGATCCAGCTGAAAGAAGAGCTAGTTTCACTTCCACACAGGCAAGTGTGGCAGTTTGTAAGGATAGCAGCAACTTTGTAGTATTTACCAACTGGCTGCAACTACAGTTTTTGGTTCTTCTTGAAATCTAGAAATGCAAATAGTGTGAGCAACTTGCCAAATGTCCACTCAACACAGACTCTGACGGCTGACATCTTGTTGTTGAATAGAGCTTGATTCGCTGTTACCACGCCTCCTCTGTATGGCCCTATTATGTAAGGTGAAATACGCTGGGTAACCATATACACAAAACACATCATTGTTTCAAGTTGTCATATTCTCTGACATGTCATTTTCAACCTCGCTTTCTCTCAACATACAAGCATCATGGCGTCGGCCTTCAATGGGGCCATAAAAATGGGCTATCATTCCATTGGGTGTTACTATACTCTGGTACTTCAAACCATGTACACGTTTATGTCCATTGAAAACGAGTTTTTGGTTTTGTTGAGGCCGGCATATCGGTCGCACAGTACAATCAATAAACCCCCAGCAGTTAGTGAGAGGTGAAACTTGGTAATGAATGGATCGAGACATATCTTCTAGATGCCCATGTGATAGCCAAGGTTTGTCCAGATTGTCTAGAAAATTACTGTGCATGTTATAAATGTAATTCAAAACAGTATTAAAAATGTGCGACAATACTGAAGTCGATCTCCCCAAAAAGTGTTTTAAGTCTTCAAGCCGATTTGGATAAGAGAGTCTTCTAAGGAGAATGCACAGACCATCAATGCCTGAACAAGTTGTACGATTCGAGCAGTGGAATTCGTCAGGTAGCAGTAGGGTTTCTTCAAGTGTGAATACATCTTCTCTAGTAAATCTGAAGCACTTACGGCACTGATAGGCACTGAGTTCATGTAGTTTGATATATCTGTCGGAAAAAGTATCATCTTCTTTCAAAGCAGAAAGCAACAAAATACCATAGTTATCTTCCACGGCAGCCAAAACATTTATATTTGCCGCCATTACTAACTAAATTCACACGATTGTAAGCGTGTTACAGACTGGTTTAAGTCGGAAAATTGGACCAATCAAAAGTCGATTTACATATACCAGCACATGTACCCGTGCAAGTAAGATTTACTCACGGTCACTAAAGTTTGGTAGCGTGTACGCGTACGTGTAGGCGTACATGTACACGTAGCGCTGCTCAACCGCTCTACTAATGAACATACCAATGTCCTCGTTCTCCGACATTGCAAAATACATAAAACAAGCATGGTGCAGTTTTTATAGTAACTTCCTTATATTTGAAGATACTATCAAATGTGAGAATTAGACACCGGGTGTCTGCCTTTTTTTTCATATTAGAATGTAGTAGCTGAATATGTTAGTTCATTTATTTTTATACATGGCACTAATAATAATAATAAATGGATATTTCTTATGCGCCATAGTCCATCCAGAGCATGCTCAAAGCGCTACATATAAAAAGAGTCACTAGAGTTCAAGAGGAAGATATGACAATTAGCCAAAAATAACCGTGAGAATATTTCGCAGTTATAGGTTGTAGACTTTTTTGAAGAGGAAGGTTTTGAGTCCCGATTTGAATGCTTCTAGGGATGAAGCATTTTTTTATGGGAGTAGGAAGACTGTTCCATAGGGTTGGTGCTGCAAATATGAATGACCTATGGCCAAAGTGTTTGATACGAACTTGGGGAACTGAGAGAAGATGTTGATTCTGAGAGCGGAGAGAACGGGCAGGCATATATGTTGTCAACATCTCAGAGAGGTATGGAGGAGCTAGGCCGTGTTTGCAGCGGAAAACAAGAGTGCAGATCTTGAAATGAATTCTTGCTTCAACCAGCAGCCAATGCAGACTCTGGAGGATTGGGGTTATGTGAGTCCATTTGGATGTTTTAGTGACAACTCTGGCGGCAGCATTCTGAAGTTTTTGAAGTCTGAAGAGAAGATCATTGGAGATTCCAAACAGTAGGCTATTGCAATAGTCAATCCTGGAGAGAACAAGTGACTGAGTGAGAACTTTAGCAGCATCTGTGGTTACAAGATGGCGGATGTTACCAATAGAGTGGAGATGGAAGTAGCCTACTCTACAGAGATGGTTGACATGTTGCTCCATGGTGAGACAAGGATCAAGATAAACACCTAGGTTTTTCACACTGGATGAAAGTGGGATATCTGAGTTGGCTACTGTGATGTCCGTAGAGTTTATCCTTTTCAGACGTTGCGATGTGCCAATCAACATAGCCTCAGTCTTATCATCATTGAGCTTCAGCTCATTTGTCATCATCCATGAACTAATTGCCTTCGTGCACTGACTCACTCTTGATCTTGTATGTTATAGTCATCCTGAAGACGGCTAAGGAGCTTCTGATGGTTGACCGTGTCGAACGCCGCTGAGAGATCAAGCAAGAGGAGAAGTGACACATTACCCAAGTCCGCATGGCATCTCAGGTTATTCAGAATTTGAAGTAAGGCGGTCTCAGTACTGTGCCTAGGACGATAGGCTGATTGGAATCTGTTCAGAAAATCATTTGAAGAGAGATAGGATCTGAGTCTGACATCAACTGCACGTTCAAGGATCTTGGAAAGGAAAGAAAGGTTGGAGACAGGTCTGTAATTCTTGAGAGTATTGATATCCAAATTGTCTTTCTTAAGTAATGGCTTTACCACAGCTTGCTTGAACACCTCTGGAAAGAAACCATTAACTAAGCTCAAGTTGATCAGTTTCGTAATAACTGGCAAAAGAGTCTCCAAAAAGTCAGCAAGGAGACGAGTTGGCATCGGATCGAGAAGACACAATGTCTTTTTTGACCGTTTGATGAGTGCAGTGAAAGAATCAAAGGTGTCCAGGCAGATCCTATCATCGGGTGGACATGTTGAAGGATCCTGTGTGTCAAGAAATGTTTGGTCAAAGCTTTTCCTGATATTTTCAATTTTACTTGAGAAGTAGGCTGAAAAATTGTCAGCAAGATCCTTGTCATTAGTGGACGGTGGTAATGGGGTATCATTCTTCTTGCCAAGTAGAGATCCCATGAATTTGTGATAGAAGGAAGGATTTTTCACATTGTCAGAGAGTTTCTTGGTACAGTAACTGGAACTGGATTTGGCTCCTCTAAGAGCCCTAGCACAAGAGTTCTGCTCAGACTTATACAACTGACGGTGAATTTCAAGGCGACTCTTCCGCCATTTTCTCTCTGCAGCTCTGCGTTTCCGCTTGGCTAAGAGAACCTGCTCATTATACCAAGGAGTCCCTGATCTGACAATGATTTCCTTCAGAGCTGATGGAGCATGTTTATCTAAGAGAGATGACAATGTGGATGAATACAACTCAGCAAGTTGGTTTACATCATCCGGGGGGTCTTGGAGTAAGTCAGAGTTTACAAGATCTCTTCGAAACTCATCATTGTCAATAGACTTGATATTACAACAGGATTGTTTGATAGCTGTATCAATCGGCACGTTAAGAGAAAGTTATTGAAATAATTTCTTTAAATAGTCACCTATTCGTAATACTCAACACGCTCCAACATTGCTGCACTTTTGTTTCGCATGAATGAATCCAAGCGGCTCAGTGTGCTATTAATTAGATCTAGAATGTAACCTCACAAGAACTGACTGACTGACTGAGTTTGGTTTTACGCCGCTTTTGGCCATATTCCAGCAACATCACGGCGGGGGACACCAGAAATGGGCTCCACGTCACAACAACCTCGCAGAGATGAGGGGCGGTGGCTGTCTTCGCAATACTATGACGTCATCAGCAGGTCACAGAGTGCAGCGAGATGTAAACAAACAGTTTGTTGTTGTCTGTTTCACGATTAATGAGAAAATTATCACACATAATTAAAACAGAACTAATAACGAGATGCAGGGTACATATATCAACGATATATCATCAATATTTACAGGCAACAATATCCTTAACTGATCATGTAAAGTTCCATAAACAAAAAATGTCTTAAAATGTTCTCAACAAGTTTTATTTCTCCTTAAACACAACAAATATTCTCACCTTTATACTGAGTTATAAACAACGCGACGACTTGAACGGCACGAACCACGTCAGTGTCAGTAACGACATGTCCTCAATCACTGTCTACATCAACACTACATTCACTCCACTGTGTACCACGTGACTCTCGCCACGTCGGCCGCTGTCTGCCTGTAGTTGTTCCTGACGTTGATGTCCACCCAGTCCAGAGACAGGACAAACTCCACTGTCTCCCTGTCTCCTCCCCGATAGGCCCAGTGAAGGATGTTGTTACCGTCATAGTCCACAAGTGACACATTAGCACCTCGACTCACAAGGAGCTCCACCACATCTCTGTGTTTCCACCATGCTGCCTCCATCACCGGTGTCCTGCTCCTCCATCCTCTACTGTTGATGTCCACCCCGTCCAGAGACAGGACAAACTCCACTGTCTCTGTGTCTCCTCCCCGACAGGCCCAGTAAAGGGTGTTCCTACCGCCATCGTCCACCAGTGACACATCAGCACCTCGACTCACAAGGAGCTCCACCACATCCCTGTGTCTCCACTGTGCTGCCCACATCACCGGTATCCTGCTCCCCTGTCCTCTACTGTTGATGTCCACCCCGTCCAGAGACAGGACAAACTCCACTGTCTCCCTGTCTCCTCCCCTACAGGCGCAGTGAAGGATGTTGTCACCGAGATCGTCCACCAGTGACACATCAGCACCTCGACTCACAAGGAGCTCCACAACATCCCCGTGTCCCCTAAATGCTGCCTCCATCACCGGTGTCCTCCCGCCCACATCTCTACAGTTGACGTCAGCCCGACATGTGTCCAGGATCCGCTTTACCGCCGCCAGGTTCCCCTTCATTAAGGTGGCAAGGAGGTCGGCGTCTGCCTGGGCGTCTCTCCGTGCTGGTGTCGGTGTCGCTGTAACACAAAGTAAACTCTGTACTCAGTCGGACATCTTCATCTTACAGCTACATTGTTCACATCTTACACTGATGATACAAAACACTCGATACATCATCTATACATGGAGTATAGCTGACAGCAACATGGCGGGCGTACAGGGAATCACAAGAACTGACAGCAACATGGCGGGTGTACAGGGAATCACAAGAACTGACAACAACATGGCGGATGTACAGGGGATCACAAGAACTGACAGCAACATGGCGGATGTACAGGAATCACAAGAACTGACAGCAACATGGCGGGTGTACAGGGAATCACAAGAACTGGCAGCAACATGGCGGGTGTACAGGGATCACAAGAACTAGTTAATGTTTTTCACACATTAGTCATTTACATGAATAGAATGTCATCTAACAGTTCTAACACAGTTTTGTGTGTGTGTGGAGAGTGGTCTGCCCACTTCTGACATTATATACATTGAATGTATTCTGATATTATATACATTGAATGTATTCTGACATTATATACATTGAATGTATTCTGACATTATATACATTGAATGTATTCTGATATTATAAACATTGAATGTATTCTGACATTATATACATTGAATGTATTCTGATATTATATACATTGAATGTATTCTGATATTATATACATTGAATGTATTCTGACATTATATACATTGAATGTATTCTGATATTATATACATAGAATGTATTCTGACATTATATACATGGAATGTATTCTGACATTATATACATTGAATGTATTCTGACATTATATACATTGAATGTATTCTGATATTATATACATATAATGTATTCTGACATTATATACATGGAATGTATTCTGACATTATATACATTGAATGTATTCTGACATTATATACATTGAATGTATTCTGATATTATATACATATAATGTATTCTGACATTATATACATATAATGTATTCTGACATTATATACATTGAATGTATTCTGACATTATATACATTGAATGTATTCTGATATTATATACATTGAATGTATTCTGACATTATATACAAAGGGTATTGTGCTGATTAGGTGTATCCCCGCTGATGTGAGATTACAGAGGACTACCTCATTGTAAAGAATATATTCTATATGAAGTGATAATTTCACAAACGATAAATCTCTCCACGAGATGACACAATGGTTTGTTTTTGAAACAGAAAATGCTTTCTTACACATCTGATGAGCTGACAATATATCATGTATAGTATTATTGTATACACAATGCGACTAGCACATCTGGTCCACAATATTCCCCCACCTACCGTGTACATCAGACTCCTGTGAAGACCCAGGTATCAGTGCTATCCCCTCGTTCCTGGCTGCAACACAGAATATGTCATGTAGAATACTTCAACACAGAATATGTCATGTAGAATACTTCAACACAGAATATGTCATGTAGAATACTTCAACACAGAACATGTCATGTAGAATACTTCAACACAAAGTGGTTCTCGTCAGAGACCTACAGGAGTTGACATGGAAACAGCTACACCAGTGCACCAGTACTTTTGCTAAACATATGTTCAGGGTATTATTCATAATGCAGTTAGATGGTCTTGTGTGATGGTTCTTGGGTGGTTATAACACGCCATTCCAGTAAGTCGCCGTGTCATTGTTCAATTTAAAAAAAGGATTTTATGAATATAAAATTGTCATTTTATTTATTGATGAGGTTATTTAAAAAGTACGTGGGTCAACTAAGAAAATCATTCTAACAAATTCACCTTAGATAACATCATATACATAAAAACGTAACATTACCCACCACTATCGCCTTGGATGGATCCCCGCAGCGTCTCTCGCCTACCGCTCTCTATCTGTGTTTCCGAGACAGGTGCTGAAAATAACAATATAATATGTTGATTTATGTGTATGGTATTTCTTTCCACCCGTTCAGATGGAAGTCTGTTCCTGCAATCTCCAAAATGACTCACTGGAGGAATGGAAGTGTCTGGGTTCGAGTCTGGCAGAAGGGGGTTCGTGAGCTCAAATGGCTTGGACTTTATACACTTGTCATATTACTGTCGTATTTTCTAAATAATGAAAATAATGAAAATGCTGCATACGCTTGCTCCCATCAGTGCTATTATTTGAAAACTAAGGCGAACGTTCATAATGACTGACATGGTTTACTATGATCAAGCCTAGAAACCGGATCTCAAAGTGATTCATAAACACGCACACCCGTACATCAATTACCCGTAAATAGGAGTCACGTAGTCGCGTGTTGTAACCTCATCAGTGACAGCCTTCGAGGCCACATTTCAAACAGACAGTGTTTCTCGTTAACTGACGAATACCTTTAGAAAATAGTGGTAAAACAGAACTGTGTATACTTAAATTGCCTCGATTGTCGAGAACTACACACTTGTGTCAATATTTCCTCAAACCATGATATCAACAGTTTACTGTTTTTCTTTCCGTCAATAACAGAAATAAAACAAGGAAAATATCTACGATACACAGAACAAGTTGGTAAATTGTAAGTGCTGTCGTCAATCGTGATGGACCCATCCATACTTACACACAGTGAGTGAGTGAATTGAGTTTTACGCCGCAGTCAGCAATATTCCAGCTATATGGCGGCGGTCTGTAAATAATCGAGTCTGGACCAGACAATCCAGTTACCAACAGCATGAGCATCGATCTGCGCAATTGGGAACAGATGACATGTGTCAACCAAGTCAGCAAGCCTGACCACCCTTAGTCGCCTCTTACGACAGGCATAGGTTACTGCAGACTAATATTCTAACCCGGACCTTCACGGGTCACTTACATACAGCCTGTACACTGTTTACACATACGTGTATAGTGCAATACATACATATGTACACACATAATCAACACATACATAATGGCTACAAACTGTCGCAAATAAAAAGACACACATGGGAGGTCCATCCATTTTTTCAGCAGATAGTCATGTGAAACCGACTGTGGCAAACACGACATCGTCGTAAAATTACCTCATCCACGACTTGACTGACAACCCATGTAGGTATAACAGTGGTGGAGATAACGGCTTGTCAAGAGCTGCTTTAGCTGCAGCATCGGCCTTTGCGTTACCTGTTCAGCCGACGTGACCCGGCCACCAGCAGAGGATGATGTCACATTGGCCAGTAGAAAGATCGTTGTAAAGTTCTAAAATGTCCAGGATGATATGTATCTAGCCACCAGATATTGATACTTTGAACATGCACCATTAACAAAATATGACCAGCAAACGTTTAAGATACATTGTGTTCTGTAGAGGAAAATATAATTCCACTTGTCCCTCTGTTGTCTTTGGAGATACTTCACTGCAATGGGTAGATGTAATCAGCATTAACAGCCTACATGCACAGGGACATTTTTGTGGCAATTGGAAGGCTGATCTCATAGTTCCGGGTGTTTGAAGCTTACTTGAGGGCTAGAAATCGTCAAAAACGCAGCCAGAACACGTTTCTGACACGCGGGCGAATGGCTGAAATACAGCCGGGGTCGCGGGGGTTATGTACCTGTGAAATAGTTCCCTCTTTAACAGGCCGTTGCTCCGTTGTCCTGGGGTCTACAGACAAAACGATTAGTGTTCTGGAATCGACATGATCCTAGCTATCCAACGCACACAATCGTCAAATTTCCTTCAATCCAATATGGCAGCCAAACGGTGCCTCTTAGCCCCATGCTTTCTGCAGTTGAAATTGAAGGTAATCGAAATCCAGAGCTGCCCCAGAAACTTGGTAGTCATTGGACACGTAGCTTCGGAGATAATTGCTTTGGAAATTGATTTTTAAAAATTAATTTGGAATTATCTGCCCTTTGCTATTGGGCCTAGAACCTTAATTGAAATTTTTCCTTGCGGCAAGGAGCCTTATAAATCGTAGCACAGTGCTTTTATCAGTGCACGAGAAAAGGCGGAGACATTTACAGTTTTTAAACGTATAACAAAATTGTGGAAAACATTTAGCAGTGTTCATTGTGTGTTGTTTGTTAATGGCAACGCTGCCCTAATTTTCGACTTTTAGAAAACAACAGTACGCTTGAATAAAAGAAAATAAAGCCTTATGTGGTGTGCATGTAATTGCCTTTTGAGGTCTACTTATTAGGTATTAGGTCGGGATCAATGTAATATGTCACAAACGCAATATAACTGTGGCAGAAACCAGAAATGTGTTTCCCTCATATAGTACCCATAGTCTTCATCGAGACAATCGAATGCTCGCAACACTTGGCTATCCGACTTTCACCCGCCACACTGTTAATTGTGACAGTACCAGCGTGGATACAATGCAGACTACTGACTGGGGCTTACTGCATCTTCCGGCAAGGACGTGAAATACTGAATTGAAACAACGCCTTGAGCTTACTGCATCTGTCGGCAAGGACGTGAAATACTTAATCGAAGGAACGCCTGGGGCTTACTGCATCCGTCGGCAAGGATGCGAAATACTTAATGGAAGCAACGCCTGGAGCTAACTGCATCTATCGGCAAGGACGTGAAATACTGAATGGAAACAACCCCTGGAGCTCACTGCATCTGTCGGCAAGGACGTGAAATACTTAATGGAAGCAACAACTGGGGCTTACTGCATCTTCCGGCAAGGACGTGAAATACATAATGGAAGCAACGCCTGGAGCTAACTGCATCTGTCGGCATCTGTGCGAACGTAAGTACATTTATCTCTTGTTGACAAATCATCGTGAAATACTTACAATCCATTGAAGGATATCATTGTTGCCTGGGGTCTTAGCTGAAACCTACATCCGCATCGGCAACGGAAACCAAGACGAATCTTCAGCGACCTGAAACTAAATGTGTGTTCCATAATGACAGAAGCAAAGCTCTAAACTGCGTTACTGTTCAGTTTCCGGATGCGGCAAGGACGAAATAATGCAAACGAAGTTATTTTTGCTGTGATAGGAAACACTTGGCTATCCGGACTTTCAGCTACCAGCGTGGGATAGGATCTGCATCCGGCAATGACGTGACTGAATGGAAATATGTTCTGAACTGATTCTTCCGGCAAGGACTGTGAAATATAATGGAAGCAACGCCTGGAGCTAACTGCATCTGTCGGCAAGGACGTGAAATACTGAATGGAAGCAAAGCCTGGAGCTTACTGCATCTGTCGGCAAGGACGTGAAATACTGAATGGAAGTAATGCCTGGAGCTAACTGCATCTGTCGGCAAGGATGTGAAATACTGAATGGAAGCAAAGCCCGGTGATCACTGCATCTGTTGGCAAGGACGTGAAATACTGAATGGAAGCAACGCCTGGAGCTTACTGCATCTGTCGGCAAGGACGTGAAATACTGAATGGGAGCAACGCCTCGAGCTTACTGCATCTTCCGGCAAGGACATGAAATACTGAATGGAAGCAACGTCTGGAGCTCACTGCATCCATCGGCAAGGACGTGAAATACTGAATGGAAGCAACGCCTGGAGCTACTGCATCTGTCGGCAAGGACTTGAAATACTGATTGGAAGGAACGCCTGGAGCTTACTGCATCCGTCGGCAAGGACGTGAAATACTGAATGGAAGCAACGCCTGGAGCTTGCTGCATCTTCCGGCAAGGACGTGAAATACTTAATGGAAGCAACGCCTGGAGCTTACTGCATCTACCGACAAGGACGTGAAATACTGAATGGAAGCAACGCCTGGAGCTTACTGCATCTACCGACAAGGACTTGAAATACTGAATGGAAGCAACGCCTGGGGCTCACTGCATCTGTCGGCACGGACGTGAAATACTGAATGGAAGCAAAGCCCGGAGATCACTGCATCTGTTGGCAAGGACGTGAAATACTGAATGGAAGCAACGCCTGGAGCTCACTGCATCTGTTGGCAAGGACGTGAAATACTGAATGGAAGCAACGCCTGGATCCCACTGCATCTGTTGGCAAGGACGTGAAATACTGAATGGAAGCAACGCCTTGAGGTTGCTGCATCTGTCGGCACGGACGTGAAATAATGTACGTATTACTGAAATAGTTACACCTATAATTATAATGCATGATATGTATTATAGCAGTTTTTGCAAATAGTTATGTAAGTAACTCCTACCATTTATTCATAGTGTTGTTATGCAGTGTTTTACGATGTGCGACAGTGTATCATCCTCTTATACATTGTACCTGCATATTCAGTAAGGGGCATTAGGTTGCTATGTTCAGACTTTACTCGATTTAGACAGAATGATTTGTAAAGTGCTACAATGATCATTTTCCCGAATCGTCTGCCAAAGAGTGGTATATAAAGGGAGTTAACTCGTGCCTCTCATCTTTCATTACATCTCAATGCAAAAGGAGACCAGCATTGTATGTGATGGTGAAACCCTGGACACTCTCTGCTTAGCCCTTTCTTCAAAGTTAGATTACTGATGCCGAGGTAAATACTACCATCATTGGTTTATATTGCTCTCATCACTGCTCTCTGGAATGATGGTATTCCGCCACACAATTCTGTATTGCCACAGTGCGATCTGAATGGTAACTTACTTGATTTGACCTGACATGGATTCAGTCTTGATTATTTAAAGAACGCCCTTTTTAGCGGGATTTTAGCAGAGTACTTAATGTGTTTCATATTTGATTGCTCTCCACAAGTGTATATATATCTACAGTTGTGTACTTGCATACGTTAATATATACCATCGTTTCACTTCCATAGGTAAAAGGTAAAACGCATGTAAAAGGTGATCAACTCCTGGAATAGATCGCCAAGATCTGGCGAAAGGTGCAGGCCTGTTCTACCCGAACTGTAGATCCCGTCACACACACAATTTGAATACCAAATTCAGTGTTTGCTGCCTGATGTCACACAACAGTAAACACCTGTAAGCACAGACAATCAAGTGATTGAAGCACCAGAAAAAAAGGTGACACAACACTGTTGCTGAAATAGAAACGATGTGTTGTTTTGGAATAATGTTGAATTACCTACAGTACTTCTACCATACGAGGGTGAACTGTACACAACTGCGTTTTGACAACACATTCTAGTGACAGCGTGTTATGTGGTATTTCGTAAAACAA